CATGGAGAAAGTTAGGCAAAACTACAGCAAGTCCCAGTGTGTTTTTCAACAGCCAGATCGCAGATATTGTATGGGGGGGAAGGGGGGGGGGTGAGCGCCATGAAAGATCATTTTAAAGAATGGTTAATATTTTTTATTTTTCATTTCCTAACAGGCGAAAATAACTTTGATGAGAAAGGAGTCATTCTTTTAAATCGATTATTCCGATCTGAAGAGCGTCACCAGGAAGCAGAGCAGCCTGGTTACCACACAATGGCTGTGTGCCTTTCTGCCTTCTGCAACTCCCTTCCCTGAACCGGAGATTCTCCAGTGCATCTACCTGATCAGCGTTTCTATCCTGGTCCCAGGGCGGTGCTAGGGGCCCAGGATGGTGGGTAAAAAAAAAAGTTGAGCGTTTTGAACGCACGTTAGAGCTGACAGCTGAAAAGGAAACTCAGCACTCTGAGAATAAAGCTCCCCTCAGGAACCCCAGGAACAACCCAGCTGTTGTATTGTAGTTATGTGTCAAGATAACAAACTGAAAGCAGGAAATGCTAACTAGTAAATTCCTGGGGATGGTCTAAGTGTCATGTCGAAAGAAAAGTTAACTCTTACTACTACCTATAGATAGGTCACATACTGCTCTTACCAGACAAGGACCACAAACGTGTGTGTATACACACACACACACACACACACACACACATATATACACACATGTGTATGTACACACATGTACACACAGCATCTACACACATACACATTTATTTCCATAAAAAACATGGTTTGCAAACCTATATTAAAGATGATTTTGTTTAAGCATTCATTCTTAAGCTGTGGAGAATGTGCATTTTACCAAGACACAGTGAGGTTCAGGGCAGTGTTATGTAAATAGGGCTCTAAGCATGAAACGAATGCCATGGCTCCTTCCTTTCTTGCCTCCCTCTCCTGACCAAGCAGACCCAAATAATCTTTACTGGCTGCTAAATTTCTCCTGGGAAATCAAGCAACTCTCTAGAATTGCAGTAATAAACGACAATTTCTTACAAAAACATGTGTAAAGTAACTACAGAATGAAGTATTCAACTCATAGAAAGGAACTGCTAACACATGTAACATGTAAAATAGTCTCTTTGGTGCCATTCAATTATGGCATCCACAGAAACACAAAAATCCTTCCAATTATTTCAGTAAAATCTTCATTTATTCATTATTTCGGGAGGCTGAGCAAATGGTTTGTGTAAACATATCCTTCAGTAACACGCGCGTGTTTATTTTAGCCATCTGAAGGCCTCTTCGATGTTTATACAAGCAATCAGACACATACAGCCACTCACTTGTGGCTTTGCCTTTTCCTGAGAGGGGCGAAGGGGGAGCAGAGGGAATGAAACAATAAATCCAGTTTCTCTTTTGCATAAAGCGCTCCCTCCCATGTTTTAAAATAACATATGTTTATATTATTCTTGGATTGTCCTTCGGCTTTCTTTTTCATTCAATGATATTGCTCTTTTATATTCCATAGTACAAGCTATGTTCTGGCTACGGTTTCAAGAGAGAAAGCCAGCTAGGGAGTTAACTGCTGTATTTGTTTATACCCACATAACTCACATATGCAACAATCTACTTTATCCACATCGGAGGACAAAGCACAGACACAACAGTACCCTCACGAACAACAGATGAAACTCATCACTTATTCCCTGCCTAAGCGCCGAGCCCTCGTGATTCAAGCAGAAGTGAGCCTTTGGCCCACAGATTGCACTCTGGGTTGACTGTGACACCAGGCCTTTGGGGGGTTAGACAGAAAAACTCACACAGGTGCAAGCAACACATACACACTCACACTCACACACAAACACACACACACACACACACACACACACACGCGCACACACACACACTTCTAAGGTCAAAACAACAAAACACCGTCAGGGTTGCAACCTAATAAGTCTAAAACTTTCCAAAAAAGTATGCTTTGCTTCCTCGGGGAATGTTCATATATTGGTGTGCTGGGGGGCTGTGGGGGGAGGGGGTGCGGGCCTGTAGATGAGGGTGGCAGTGGGAGGGAGCCGGAAGGAGGAGGATGAAAGCTTCCAGCTTTGATTATATTTGCTCAGCTCCCCCGGCACTGCCATTTTCAGTCCCACAAAAGGAGCTGCAATGTGACGTGGAAACGCCTCTACAGGGGGATCGGTACAAAGCAGAACACGGGTGACCACGGCTAGCGACTGGAAGAGGAAATTAATGGCCACAAGCAATCAAAACAAAATTAAACAAAGGGAAGCCAAAACACAAAGAAAAACCCAAAGCACCTTATTTGGCTTTTGTCCTACAAAGTCTTGAGGGATCACTTTTTGTTAAGAGCAAAAAGCAAAAACCACCACAAAAGTAACCTGATCTTTTCTTTATTCCGTTATGACAAAGGCAAATGATTTAATTCTCTGGTTGAAGAGATCTAGTGGGTGCCCCCAAAAATGTATACAAAATGGCTTAAAATTGTGTCTATCAGCTGTAAAGTGTGTACACATTTTTAGGGACACCCTGTATATTTCCCATATATTTTCAGTTTATACAGAAAATTTTAAAATTGTACCAGGGCCCTGAAGATTTTAGATGTTTGCTATCTGCATTAAAAGTAGTAGTGTTATAGATACTTATGATTTCTTTCATAGCATCCTTTCCAGGAAAAAACACACACATACACACACACACACACACACACACACACACACACACACACACACAAAGTTTCATTAATAACCACAGAGCACAAACTTTAAACCATCGGCATGCCCAAAGTGTATTATCAAATATGGACTCTCCTTGTGTCTATTTCTGCAAACTATAACAAAGCAAAGCAAATGGTTATTTCATTTGAGTACTCTGTTCTAAACGGTATGTAAGACACTTGGATTTTAAGAACAGGGAGCATGTGCATCACCATAGCATTTGAGTTGGCCCACCACAGAGATGCAGCAAATGCCTGCTGGAAGTATGAATGTGCACCTGTCATTATCAGTTTTGTGCCTTTTGAATCATGATAAAAAGAGAAGAAATAACCCAAAAGCTGCATTTTTAAAGTTTTTTGAAGCATTAAGGCAGTTTATATTTCATTATCTACTAAATAAAAAAAAATCACTATTTTGAGGGGGGAGGCTAGGGGGCGGATTTTAACTAAATGAATTCTGATGTTTTTTCTGACTTATTATCACTTGAAACTGATTACGACATCAACTTTTCACCAAGACGGAGATTTGTAACCTCAATAATGTCCTCCTAAGAACTGAGTTTAGTCATCTTACTAGTTCATTCCAAAACATGTGTTCTGCAGTGATTCATTGTCCACTCACCTTTTCCTCTTTGGGGATATCAACTTTTTCTTTGAGAAATTACTAGATACTAGGCACAATTCTATTTTAAATTTCCAATAATTTACACCCTTATTTGACTTTCAAGGTGCTATCCTATTTTAGACAAGTAAATGTCAATCAGTAATCCACAGACGTAAAAGTTACACAGCTATAGTCACAATTTAAAAACACAAGCATGCTTCATCTAACCTTCAATTCTTGTCAACTGTAAGACTTGTATGCAGACATGGGCTACTTTGCTAAAAGACCGAGCATGGAATATAAAGAAGTTATTTAAGAAAAACTAAATCCAAACATAGTGTTACCATATCCAATTAAATTAAAAATACTATTTAAATAAAACATATTCATTAGATTTAAGATTATTAATTATTAAGACTTTAAATAGATGCTTTCATTAAACTCATCTTCTTTCTTATAGCAGATATTGTTTGTTTTTTTTTCAGCTTGGGGAATTGTGTAAATTTCTTGGAAGAAAACACAACACATGGAAAAAGTATATATTTTAAAGCAGCAGTTATATCAATCGTTCAAAAAAGGAAAAGTCATATGTATCCATTTTAAGTAGTGTGTTCATAAAAACCTGAGTTTTTTAAACAGAGTCCAACTAATTTTTTTAGTTTTCACCTGAGTAAAAGTGAACATTTTATTAACTTAATCCTTAAAACTCTACTCTTTAGGAGTTTCTACCAAGCAGTATGTGTGACCCACTGACAGCTGATATCTCAGTATGTACTTTTAACAGAGGCATGTTCAGTGAAGAGAGGATTATAATCACAGCAGGGCTGGAAAATTACATTGGCTCTACTTTTGGTGAACTCCTTATGGGATTACCTCACTCTCCTCTGTAAATTTTTATCTCTTGCTACTTATGATTATAGTGTGAATTTTAATTATTTAATTTGTCGAGTTGACAAAACTTGTTCTTTATTAAAATAATATGTTAGAAGCTGACGTGCATTACTGATTTTCTAAAACCAATACATGACAGAACAGGAAAACCTGTTTTGAAAATGAAGGTTTAGAATTATTTTTCCAGTCAACGAAATAGCCAATCCTCAATGGCTCACATCAATGTACGAACAAAAGTTAAAGCTTTATTCACACCAGATTCCTTCTTTAGAATTAATTCCAACAATCTTCCCACTCCTCAATATATGAGTGCTGCTAATAACAGCAAATCAACTAATTAAAAGTTTTTTTCTTCTAGCTTTCCTCTATGATAGGTGAATAAATGAATAATAAAATGCCTTAACGTTAGCAATCCAGGAAAGAGCTGAAATGAGAAAAATCTACTACGTGAAAACCCAACAGTTAAAATATTCTTCCCTGAAACCAATTTCATATTTCAGGACCTAAAATCTAAGTGTAAAATCCACCCCCTCCTTCAAGAAAAATATTATAAATTGTTTAAAACATTTCATAGCACTTAGAAATTCCAATAGTTAATTATCATATGCTATAACCTCAAATCAATTTAAATTTGCATTCACATAAGAAATAAAGGGGGAGGGGTGGGAAAGAGGGATGGTATAGCCGAGACAACTGAACTTTTAACATATATTTTCTATAAAGCTAGTTAAAAACAAATACTACAGCTCATGTAATTTTTAAGTGTAAGTGTAGGGTTGGAAATAATTAAAATGTTACCTTTGCCAAGTAATTCCCAATGTATCCTCACTGGTACTGGGGTATAAATGCCTGCCGTTTTGATTCATGGTCCAGTCACAAATCCTCAGCTGTCAATTGAAACCTAGCAGTCAGATATGGATGGAGCAGTACTACAGTTTTTAGTATTTAAATGAACACATGCAAACGAGTACTGTACATGGCATTAACCTTACTTTCCCAAGAGGCAACTTAAAGGAAAAAAAAAAAAAAAAAGCAAAAGAAAACCTTACTCTGTAAAGCAAAATTCCTTGACTGTTTTTTTTTAGAAAAAGCTATTGCAATATGCTCCTCTATTAATTAAAGCATACAAGAGAAACAAGTGCTTAGAACATAACAATTAGCCATTATTAGAGTACAAATTGAGCTGCAATAAAAGCAAACGTTAATGTTCAATAGAGAGATATATTTTAGAAAGAAAATTTAAAAAGCTTTTTAAAAAAAAAAATGCAACACAGCAAATAATCCGCACTGAGTAAAAGAATAACTTTAAGCATGCAATTTGCAAACCATGAAAGACATGCAAGTTTAGAGGAGAAAAGGCCCCACCTTTTCAACACTGTCCCTGACTTGTGTTTAGAAGCATCCAGGTATTCAGGTTTAGATGTTTACTAACTGTGCTTTATTCAAAGTGGCATTGTTTAGAAAGAGTTGCTAAGAATTTCTGCTTTTTATTTTAAACTCACAGTAATGGTATTTAAAATACTTTACCACATCTGAATGGACTGAGGAATGCACTGAATACAAGCTGAAATAAATTCTTCCCAGATCTCTGAATCATCAGCGCTGCCCTTCCGAGAGTGTTCAAGTAACCCTATCCAGCTCTGTTTTGGTAACAGCTGCCCTACAGTGCTAGCAGATTTATTGAAAAGATATATTGCTTATTTTTATGCTTAAAAAAGTAAATTTATCTGGTTTTGGGGGGAAAAAAACACTAGAAATTCATGGTGTTTAATCCTGAGATAGCTACGCTGTGAATTAATGGCATCTTGCATTGAAAAAGATGACTTACAGCCATCCATCAAACCTTGCTTGCTGTTTCTCTGTGAGAATTTCTAAAAGATGATGATTGGAGCCAGAGTGCCTTTGAACTTATGATAAATTATTTTAATCCTTTCTGATAGGGTTATAGCTAAAAAATAAATGGCTATTAAGAACCTTTTTCTTGTTATGCTCTTGAGTTTCTACACACACTAAGTAAAAGTGATTTTGGCTTTTAAAAATAATCATTGTTGCTCATTTTTCTACAGATCTATGAAGCTCCAAAATACCACCAAACATTTCTAAAACACGTGTTTTAATTATGTTGATATTTCAGGTAAAGTAATTTGAAAATTTAAAGAGCTAAAGAAAAAAATCCGCTGATGTATTATAGATGATAGATAGATGAACAAATTGATAGTTGTGTACATTCTGCTTAGGATATATGCCATAAAGAAGCCATAAGTCAGTAGAGAAGGTAAAATAGAATAAAAGTATTCTTAAAATTGATCATAATACTTGCATAAAGGAGAAAATGTAGACTTGATTAGTTTTAAATCAAACAGAAGATAAACTTTAATATGGCAAGATTTTTTTTAAAGTTCTCAAATTGGATCATCTAATCACAATGGCAATGTGATGGGGCAAGCTGAAGGTGTTTTTCCTGCACAAATTAAACCAGGTGTCTATTTCAAAATACACATTTTTAAGCCAGCACTATGAAAATAATTTAAAAACTATTCAAGACATTTTGACTTTGTATGATGATTACCAAAGGGACCACTTACTGATTCTGTTCTTGTCAATGAAAGTCCTAGTTTGGAGTCCATTCAATATTCCCGGTAAGGGCCGGGTACAGGTAGTCAAAACCCATGAGAATCCTGCTAAGTATTACTTTCAGGCTTGTGCCAGTGGGCTCTTGGGTTAGACTGAAGTAGTTTTTAGAAGACAGTTTCTCAAAGCCAAGAGAACCTAAATATCACTCCCTGACTGGCTTGCTGTCCCATAGACACCTGCAGGCATAATACGTTTCCTTGGAAGGATGGATATGTAAGCTGTTAGTATTTTGTTATTCATATTGCTAACCTTTTATTTATTTGTTTACTATCCCCCCAAAAAATGTCAAGTGGACTATCTTTGGCCGTATGAGGAAAACTTAAAATCTATGTATATCTGGACTTTTCTTTCCAAAGAGTACTCTCAAACGGTTAAACCTGACCTGCAGCTAGTCATTTTCATCCGTATTTCAGACACATGCGGTAGCAGTATCTTCTCCCAAATAAAGAATATAGTTAAGTATATGCAAAATGATCACCATTAGATTTAACAGTTTAAATGCTTAGGAAACTGGCAGGATATTCATTAGTATTGAATTAATTTCATTTCTGTTGTTGAAAACATGAACTACACTGTAAATTTATTTAGCTATTGAGTTTATGGTCTAGCATTGCCAACATTTTAAAAAATTTCTGAAGAGGCATATTTATACATGATTATATGTTAAAATTTATATCAGTTTGTTTGAATAGGAGCCTCTCCAAGCTTTTTAAAAAATGTATTAATTATTAATTAAATTTGCATAAAGTACCACTGAATTAGTAAACCTCCTGATAAAGTGAAAATTTAAAGGTGACTGCATAGGTAGGAGAAACAAATAATTAAAATAAAAACCACCTCTTTACTGAAGATTTCCATGACACTAATTCCTAATAAAATCAATTCCTAAGCATCTAGTTTGACCAAAATAGCACTGATTGGGCAAATCCTGAATAAATTCTAGGTGATAAAATGCTAATACTATGATAATAAGTATATCTAAGCATCTTATTGCAACACATAAAATAATCTTGGTATTAGTATACTTCAGTATTCCTAACATTTAAAGCCTAATGTAAAAGAGAATTTTACATTAGGCTTTAAATAAGTTATGTAGTTTACATATCAACTCATGTTAATTAAATTTTAAAACTCTAATTTTGAGTGATATTTGATTCAATAATTACTCCTAATTTTTTTTTTCAAGTATTTTCTCTCAAAAACATAAGAAACTATTCTCTCCCTACTAGTAACAAAACTTAAAGCACCAGGTGCACATTAGTTTAAAAATTTACTCTGTTAAAGTTTTGTGTTTGGATATGTGGGAGGTAGCAACTCTTATTTTTGTAACAATATAGACCCTCTGACACACCTCATCATATGTATATCCTTGCATAAATGCCTGTCCACTCATATAAATATCTTAATTCTTTAATTTAATTGTGCATACCTACTAGTATGAAATTACATTGCTGAAAAAATTAAGGTCAATTTTAAAATAAAACCATTTATGCCCAGAATTCCAAAAGCAAACCAATGATGAAATCAGGAAGATCCTCCTTGGAAAGAGCCCTGAGTAAAGGGGTGAAGTTGGAATAGACCAAATACCAAGAGAGAAGGGAAGGTAAATGTTCCCCTGCGTGTGTTCCTGGGACAAACTCCATAGTTTCTGCGATGAGAACCCTGCTCCTCTCCCCACTCCCAACTCGAAGAAGAGTGTTTCAGAAAAACAAGGATGGGGTCCCTGGAGTTTCCCTTTTAACACTGCATCAGGGGAGTCCCCTATGATTCGGGTCATTGTCCTTTTCTACACGACTATCAAACATGCAGGTAGATTATAGCCATGAAGAATCAATATTGCTTGAATTTCACATAGGAATTGGTTTCTTAAAATGAGGACCTCTATTGTTTTGAACTGGGGCTTTTGGTAAATGCTTAGCAATTAGCTTTGGGAACAAAAGAAAGAAGGTAAGCAAAACCTCCTTTGCTAGACTCAGCAAACAGCCTGATGCACAAAGAGTCCCTCTTGATGACAACAGCTCTCAGTTGAACTAATAAACCATTAAACTGTAAACAGCATCATCAATACAGGCAAATTTACCTTTTCACTTTTTTTTTTTTAAGTTTACAGTGACCTCAAGGGAATATCTTAAAAGGTCTCTGAAGTCTATTTCTTCAAAGAGCCTCAAGGAAACAGATTTTTGGGGGGAGGAGAGGAAAGGTGCTTTGGAGGTACTTTAAAAGATTAATATTCCAATATTCATACTTTCCTCTTAACTCAGATTAGTAGACTTTAATTGATCACTATTATTAATTCCTTGCTACAGAGCAAATAAAAAGGCCTCTGAATGCAACAAGCAAAACGGTCAGAATGAAATTAGTTATATGTGGGACACATAACACTTATTTTCTTAAAATATATTTTTATTGACTTCAGAGAGGAAGGGAAAGGAAGAGAGATAGAAACATCAATGATGAGAATCACTGATTGGCTGCCCCCTATTAGGGCTCAAGCCTGAAACCTAGGCATGTGCCCTGGCAAGGAATCAAACTGTGAACTCATGGTTCATAGGTCAACACTCAACCACTGAGCAACACTGGCTGAGTAACACTTACTTAAAAAAAAAATAGTAAGATATTCAAGGTTATCCTGGTTATTTAAAGTTACTCTTTTTTTTTTTATTGAACTTATTGGCTGGGGTGACATTGGTTAATGAAATTATTAAAGATACTTCTAATGTCAGTTTCTGAAACCCATGCTTCTTGATGTTTAATTTCATGAGCATGGTAGAATTAAGTTAAATGGATCTGCATAGTCCACGAACTAAATAAACATTACTGGCCAGAAATCATAAGTATTAGAAAGTGAGAGGCTCCATTTTTAGATGGAAGCTATTTTAACTCGTAATGCTTACGATTTCAAGGGAACTTGAAGATTGGGTAGTTCAACTTCTTCATTTTCCTTTTCAAAATAAGGATAGAAGACAGCAAGGTTTAAGGATCTGTCTAAGGTTAGACATTCCTTGTTCTCCTCTGGACCAACCTCTTGATCCCTAGACTCTGGTTCTCACCAGGACACCAGTTCGCCTGTCATTGTTCTTTTCCTACTATATCCTTTATGTGCAGCCCAAGGATATTTAAAGCTACACTGTCTATAATTATAATCTTCACAATTTCCTCTACTCCCCTGATTCAACTTAGCTCTTGTAAAGTTAATATTTTCAGAAAAGAAGATCACTTCTTCCTGGTGATTTTGTGGACTGAATTGTAAGAT